GTGGCCTGCCTGGTGGGGCACACCTGGACCCAGTGCTCTTCCAGGGCCTGACCTTGTTTTTCCAGGTGCCTGGGGTCCTAGGTCTGGCAGTGTCCTGGGACTTTGCTCCTCAGCCTCCCTGCCTTTGCAAAGCCCCTGGAGAAGAGGAAAGTTTTCCCTGTACAGCAGGAAGGATTCCGGGTAGATATAAAGAAAGCCTGCTGGAGGGCTTGCTCTTCAGTTCCTGGGCTTATGTGGTCCTGGTTCGTCCAGAGGAATTTGTGGGGGCTGGCGTGGGGGGGGCTGCTCTTGCCATCCAGGAAGTGATCCAGTGCTGGCTCGGAACCTCTCTGCCAGCTCAGGCTGGGCCAGTCATACCCATTCCTTTCTCCTGTCACACCCCTGGGGGGATTCTGTGGATGACATTCAGCTCCTGGGCCCAGGTGGAGGGGAGCAGAGGAACCCCACAAGGCTGGTCCTTGGGCATTGGAGCCCCAGCAGACCACGCTTTCTGGGACCTGTCTGCTCACCAGCATAGTACCGTTCTCTCATCACCTGGGTGTGTGTGGCACACCAGGTGGGCACTGAGGGTTGGTCCCTGTGGGCTCCAGTGACCAGGTATTCTACAATGGCTTCCCCTCCTTGTCACAAGTCGTCAGGTGGGTCAGCTCTTGACAGTTTGCCAAGAGCTCCCACACACAGACTCCGTCTGATCCTTACAGTGGGGAGCCTGTGTGCTTTTGCAGGAAGGGGAAAGTGAGTGGGGCGGGGGGATAGGGTCCCCTGTGCACAGCACGTCCCGGGCACTGCCTGCCGGGGTCCTTCCCTCAGCCTCAGCCCATGGGTAACACCCCACCACCCTGGCCGAGCCTTAGTGATGCAGGGCTGGGTCTGCGTTATGAAATGCATGAACAGGGGCGGAAGTCATGTACAAAGCAGCTTAAAAACAAACAACAACCAAAAAAACCCCAATCTTTTTTCCCCTCCTTTCTAGTGCAGACTGCTTATCATGGCCTGGGGAAATTGTAATTTTTAGATCTGGAAGTCTGGAGGAGCCAGGGTGAGCTGACAGTCTCAGTTGGCTTCCGGGGAAGGACGCAAGGGTGCTGAGTGAGGCACCGAGCACCAAGCGGCTCAGGAACTGAAAGACGACTGCTGTGTGGAATGGAAGGGGGTTGTTTGGGGATTCCGCTCTAATCTAGACTCGTGGTGGCCGTCATAGTAAAGTCTCATAAAGTGTAACTTTTCTGACGGGTGACCCATATGGGCTCACTCATAACAACAACAAGGGTGAGGATGGTGCGGGGCGGCCAGGTCCCCGTGAGTCCAAACCGACGGAGCGGCACTGACAATCATGCACAACAGCGGCTGTATATAGGCAGCAGGCTTCCCGGTTGTTGCGGTGTGTTGTCGAGTTGATTCTGATTCATAGCAACCGTATAAAATGGAGTACTACCCACTTGAGTTTCCTAGGCTGTAATCGTTAAGGGAACTACCAGATTTTTTCCTCCTGTTGAGCCCCTGGGCAGGTTCGAACTGCTGACCTTTTGATTAGCAGCTGAGTTAACTGCTACAACAAATGCCATAAAACTCACTTTTTTTGCCATAAAACTCACTCCCACTGAGTCCGTTCAGATTCTTAGCAACCCTACAGGACAGAAGAGAACGTCCCCTTTGGGTTCCCAAGACTGGAAATGTCTCCAGGAGTAGAGAGGCTCATCTTTTGCCCATGGAGTGACTGATGCCTTCAAACCACTGACCTTGTGGTTAACAACTCCGTGCATAGCTCACTACACCACCAAGGCGCCTTCCATCTTGCCATCTCTCTGCCATCTAGTTGATGCTGACTCATAGTGACCCTACAGGACAGGGTCGAACTGCCCCTGTGAGTTTCCAAGATGGTGTCTCTATGAGAGCAGAAAGCCTCACCTTTCTCTCACGGAGCAGGCTGGTGGTTTCGAATTGCTGACCTTGCAGTTAGCAGCCCAGCTCATAAGCACTCCGCCATCAGGGCTCCTTTGCCATAGTCCCCCCTCCCGGGCACCAGTGCAAATTATGTAGTAAGTCCTGATTATCCCACTTTTCAGAACCAGCAGCGGAAGCCCCGAGTGGAGATTACACAACCATCCCAGGGTCGCAGCAGAGACGGGAGGACTAGGGTTGAGAGCCTGGCTGCCAGTGTCTGGCCCTGAGACTTTGCAGCAGCAGCACCCAGCATCAGGCTCCTCTGTGGGTAAGCCCCACTGCTGGAGCCCATCTCTGACCAGGGCTGGGTGAGCCACTTAACTTCCGCCCACCTTAGTTTACTCGTTTGTGAAGTAGGTGAGCCTGCCTCTTTCACGGGGCTGCCCAGAGGGACAGGTAAGACCACCTGCACACAGGCTCATTCCATAAAACTTGGCACATCACAGGACCCCAGTAAGTTGAGTCACAGCTCACTGGCACTCCTGTTATGCCCCCAAATCATTCCTGGTACCTCAAATGAATCAGTAACGGTGGTGCACCTGGCAGCACCTAGGAAGAATGGCCTGGCGAACCCTCACTGACTGATGCTAGCCGAGAAAACCTGTGAAGTTCAGTCCCGTAATGTGGAGGTTTATTCAGAACAGTGCATGGCAGCTGGCACCAATGATGACTAAAATAAACTCCTTTTACCTGGCCCAGCCACGTTAAGTCACAGCACCAGCACCACCGGTTCTGACCAGCCACAGCCCTTCCTCCCTGCCCCAATGCCAGGGTGCTTTGGGGAACAGGGAGGGGGCACCCACCCATCTTCCCACCCTTCTTATCAGCTCTCAGAATGACTGGGAGAAGGCATTGTGCATCTCATTTCTCATCGGTTTGTCTGAAATTGGATCCTCACTGAAATCATGGGAGCTCCCCTGTTGGTGGGAAAGACAGAGGGCCCCCTCTCCCACTGCCAACACATTCAAATCAGAGTCTGGCACCACAGCAAACAGGCAGCTGGTGCCAGCGGCAGGGCCCCAGAAAGCTGCCCCGCCGTAAGTTGTTCGATCAGGAGCAGTTCTGAAGAGGTCGGTGTGACCGGAAGGAGAGACACAGAGAGTGCTCGCCATGTTTACAAACCCCAGGTCTGCTGATCTCTAGAGAGCCCTGGTGATGGGTACCATCGTTCCTGTTTTATAGATGAGGAAACTGAGGCTTGGCAAGCCTGAAAGAACCCAAAGCTACATCATCTGATCCCAAGTCTAGTCTTCCTCTCCAGAGACCAGCGGCTTTCAACCCTGGCTGTCCGCTAGAATCACTTAAAACCGTGTGGGCAGCTTTCAGCCATGCTGACCCTGCGGCCTACCCCTCCATCTGTTGACTCAGAGCCTGGGGGCATGGAGCCTGGGCATCCAAGGGCATTGAAAACTCCCCAGGGCATTCTCCAGAGCCGCAGAGAGGAGAACTGGGTTCCTCTACAGGAGGACTATGGCCCACACTGCTATCACTCCCGGTGGGGGTTTCTGCCTCACCCCCGGCACTCCCAGAGCAGGAGGCAGACGCTAGGGAACCCGCCGGTGTATCTAGCCCAGGCTGGAGAGAATCCCACCACCACCCTGAGGGCCTGGCTTGCTTCTTGGATTTGCCACCTCCTCCTCCCATCACCCATCCAAGCCACCATCTCCACTGGTTTCTTTTTGATCCTGCCCGGGATTTTTCCTTTTTTCCAGACATACACAAGTCAACAAACATCGCCTTTCCCTCCTTTTTCACACGCAGAGGCATGCTCTCTGGACTGCTGACCACCTTGCGCTTTTCGTTTAAACTCTGCCTTGGACATCACGCACATCCTTACTCACTGCCATCGAGTCGACGCTGACTCTTAGCGACCCCTTGAGTTTCCGGTATTTTAATGGTTTGTGGGAACAGAAAGCCTGTCTTTGTTCCTAGAGTGGTTTTGAACTGCCGCCCTTGCGGATCGCAGCCCAGCACATAACCACAATGCCACCAGAGTTCCTGGATCTTGGACATTGGTCCCTAACAATCCATTCTCTTTATAGCTGCATTTTGTCAGTACAGAGGTTTAAAAACTGACTCTGAAAGTCAAGAGCTGCTTCCCCCGGCCGGCGTGGGTCAGACGCCCTCGAATGCGCTGTGAACACATCTCCACGTGCGTGGCCTTCTATGGATGCAGAGACAGGAAAGGGAGAGGGCATGGGGCTGGGTTGGGCCGATCCAGGTCGCATTCTAACTATATTAGGTGATGTATCTTCCTGGGGCGCTGACGGTACGGGGCAGGAATTTCAGTGTATACCTTCTTGCCAGAGGTGGGGGGGCCAAATCCGATCACTCCACTTGCCAGCGGACGGCTGCTGTGTGGGCATTTTAGGAAACAGTGAGCACCATGTTTCTGGAACGTAGTGAGTCACGAGCCTCATTCAGTTTAGCAATCAAACCGCCCGCTGCCAGCTCCTTCCCTTCATCCTGAAGCTCGCCTAGCTTCCTCCTCAGAAGAGGTGAGGTAAGGTGTCAGAGGGAGAAACTGGAGCCCGTGTGGGGTGCAGGGAGCCCTGAATATAGTGGGGGCTGAGCCTGGGGGTTGTGGCAGGTGATGGGGGACCCCAGGTCAGCAGGGGCTGCCCAGGCTGGACATCTGTGCCCTCAGAATCTGAGACCTGGCTTGGCCCCCTGCTGCCAGATGCCTCATCATCCCACCCTGAGACTGGGCTCCCCATGCAAAGTGGGGATTAAAGAGAGGGAACTCTAGGCTTGCTGTGAGGGTTAATGAGATGATGGGGCTGACATTATTTTGTAAGTGGTCAAATAGGAGGCAGGTGTTAAGTTATTCTGAACTCCTTGAGGTTGGCAAGTGAGGCTGATCAAATGGAGGCTCTCACTCCCAGTCCTGAGCCAGGAATTTGGAGCCCTGGGTCCTACCACTGCCCCTGACCCTCCTCGTCTCCCCTCCTCTGAACTGCACCTGGAATGGCTTGCGGCCCAGGAGCTCCAGTGGGAGGACAGGCCCTGTGGGTGGTGAGGACTTAGTACTGACATTGTTCTCATCCTTCCTCCAGGGACAGGGATGCAGCCAGTCTAACACCAGCCAGCTGCGCCTTGCCACCTGCCCTCCTCTGTGGGGAGGGAGCTCCGGGGGCTGCTTCCGGGGCCAGCCTCTGATCTGCCTACAGCTCAAGCACTGAGAGATCCTCTTGGCAAAGTCTCCCCCCAAAGATGCCTGCTAACGCATGTCTGTTCCTGCCTCTGTGAGAAGTCTGGAAGCCGCAGGACTCCAGGAAGTCTACAACCCGGAACCTGCGCAAGGCCACCATACAGGCATTCTCTGGGACGCAGGCTACAGTTGCTCTCCGGGTCTGGGAGCTGCCTACCCTTTGCGACCCACTCACATCCTAGCAATGCCTTTAGGGGCCTTGGCCCCAGCTGGGTGAAGCCACTCCGAAGCAAGAGAGGACGGATCCTACCTTACCTCCCACCAGGAGTTCCACCCTGCCACAGACCGACCGCATCCGCTGCCTGGCCATCGGGCAGAAGGCAGAATGTCTGTGCCCCAAATCCAAATAGAAGAAGTGGCTGGGGAGGAAGGGCCAGCAGGAACAGACGTGCCTGCGGATGACCACCTCCGCAGCCTGAAGGCCCTCACGGAGAAACTGAGGCTGGAGACGCGCCGGCCCTCCTATCTGGAGTGGCAGGCCAAGCTGGAGGAGCAGACGTGGACCTTCCCTAGGCCAGCTGCCCAGCAGGAGGCCAGCCCAGAGCAGCCACAATGTGGGGAGGAGTCCTCCCTCCCCCCGAGGGAGCCCAGGCCACAGCCTCCCCCCGATGGGCGAGCTGGCCAAGGCCAGGGGCCCCTTGCCACCAGCAAGCTGAATGGCTTTGAAAGTATCGACGCAGCGATAGCCTGGCTCAGGAGAGAACTGGTGAGTGACTGTCTGCCCTGCCCAGAGTCACTGGAAAAGGCACTGTCTCTCCATTTCCTCTCTCCCTCTCCCCCATTCCACCTTTGCCTATCAGTAGTCTTCATGGTAAGAGGCCTGGTGGCCCAGGGGTTATGCATGTGGCTGCCTGCCGACAGAGGGTGGTCTGCGTGAGCCCGCCAGCCGCTGCCCGGGAGAAGGGGGCGGCAGTCTGCTTCAGAGAAACCTCACGGGGCAGTTCTCCTCTGCTGTCAGCCCCCTGGGGGCTGTACTCACCTCGGCTGCCATAGATTTGGTCTGCTTTTCAGAAACTTGAGAGTAGATGAAGGCTGACTACATATCATGTGGTTACCTGGCGTCCTTAATTACAGATACTATATATCCAAGCCAAACCAAACTCACTCCCATGGAGCCGACTCTAGGACAGGGTAGACCTGCCCCTGTGAGTTTCCGAGACTGTCCCTCTGTATGGGAGTAGAAAACCTCATCTTTCTCCTGCAGATGCTATTTCAGAAGGCCAATTCGTCCTTGAGAACTAGCACCGATGTTCTGAAGGTGTCGCCAGCCTCCCAGCATGGGGGCCCACAGTCTGGTGCAGTGGTTACACGGAGGTCTGCTAACCTCCAGGTCAGCGATTCGAAACCACCAGCTACTTCCCGTGGAGACAGGCAGGACTTTGGACTCCCGTAAAGTAGTACAGTCTCGGGACCCCCGGGCGCTTCTCCCCTATCCTAGAAGGTTGCCATGATTCCACATGGACTCGATGGCAGGGAGTTGGAGGTTTGTTTTGGGGACTTGAATGTAATTGCCTCTCTTCTCTCTGAAACCTGCTCACCGTGCAGCTGCCCAGAGCTGATGGCTGGTGGCAGTGACCAGTCCCCAAATGTTCAGTGGCCGAAGTGCCTGCACCGACGCTGCACAGGTGGGCCCTTGCAGGGGGCTCTTGTCTGGGGAGGGCGTTGAGACTCCAGTGGGAGTAGCTCTTGTGTAGGAGCTGTGAAGAAGGAGCTGCACAGAGCAAGGTGTGAATGATCATGGCGGGTGGGGGATGCAGACTCTCTGCTAACAAGGCGCCATCTGGACCTCACCTGGAGGCTGAGGGGGAGTCTGCCTAGAAGTCAGGGCTGGGGCGGGCAGCTCAGCCTCTTACTGCCCACGGACCCAGAAGATGCCCATCATTCCCCCCACCCCACCCCCACCAGCCATGGTTCTCAGCCTCAGAAGGAGTGGGCCGGCTAAGTCTCCCTTACACACACTCAGCAGGGGCAGGGGGCGGTGTCACTGTCCAGGGCAGAATGGTTTCTCCCACAGGCCAGGCAAGGCACAAACCCCTCCCCACCCCTAGCTCTCCAGCCGCGCCCTGCACACGCCCTCACCTCGTGACCAAGTGACACTGGTGGAGTCTGGTCACTCTGGCCAGAGGTGAGCCCAGCTGCCTTGCAGGGCTGGTCGTAACTCTGGTCAGTTGTGGCAGATGCCGACTTGGTTTGCGTGGCAGAATCTTGGAAAATAAAGTCTCTGGGGGGGGGGGAGAATGGGGGGGTCTAGTGAGGGGGCTGACCTTCCTCCGAAGCTTCTCTAATACAGCCTCCTCAGGGACGCAGGTGTCTGACTAATTAGAACCCTGTTTTGCATTTCATCCTCGATGCTGAGAATGCTTCTCAAAGACACATTCCATTCTGTCCATCTCTAGAAGGTAGTGTGTGTGTGTGTGTGTGTGTGTGTGTGTGTGTGTGTGTGTGTGTGTGTGATTTGTGCCATTGGCTCTCACAGTGGGCAGGTATGGATGAGGGTCTCTGGTGGGGCTCTGAGAATGCTGCCCATACTAGGTACTCACGGAGCAAGGCAATAGGGACAGGCAGTGGCCTGAGGCAAATGGCCATGATTTGTTTTCTTAAAACGTTGTTGTTGTGTTGGTGTGTTGCGTCCTGGACTCACCGTTCTGACTTGCAGTGTCCCTGTGTGCTATGACACGTGCACATCCCCTTCCTGCAACCCTGATGCCGAGGCTCTTCGTAAAAGTGGATGAATGAGAGGCCTCCCCATTCATCAAGGGTTTTCTTTGTTGGCTTGGGACTCATTTGAGGTTTTACTGCTCCAGGAAGCAGCGATAAAAGTACCTGGCACTGGTTCAGCACGGTTCTGGTGGATTAGAATTCTGGGGGCCTAACTTTGGATCTGGGACAAGGATGGGGATGAGAGAGGATGGCTTCTCTGAGGGAAAGCCTGGAAGACCCCTGGAACTCAACTTCGTCACCACTTAGAGCCAGCCAGCCAACCAACAAGTTGCCATCAAATTCACCCCAACTCTCGGGGACCCCAAGTCTGTCAGAGTGAAACTCTGCTCCCTGGGGTTTTCACTGGTGGCATTTTCAGAAGGTGGTCACCAGGCCTGTCTTCCCAGATGCCTCTGGGCGGACTCCAATTTCTGCCTTTCAGTTAGCAGCGGACAAGTTCATTGTCCTCTACAAGGACTCCTCATGTAGAGCAGTGCCTCTCGATCTTGCCTGCACAGCCGAGGGCCCTGGGAACACAGAGGATCTCGAAGCCCATACTGTGCCCCAGATCAGTGACATGAGTCCCAGGGGGCTGGGGGTGGGTGGTGGCAGGCCTGAGGCAGCAAGAGTTCTCAAAAGCACCCCCGGTATTGTGACGTCCAGCCGGGACGAGGACTGGCAGCTTTAACTCTTCATTCAGCATTTGTGCAGCATGAGGTGGCCCAGGGTGTGCAGAAAGGAGGGAGGGGCGGCAGGCTAAGTCAACGCTAGATAATGGATAGACTAATAGCCACAGGCAGTGAGAGGGGCATTAATTGTCGACTGTTTTGACTGCCAAGGGCAGGAAATATCAACATTATGTACAACAATTTGGATTACATAGCACTTCTGCCCAACTCCTCGACACTTCTTTGATGATGAGCGGCTGCTACTATGGGTGAGTCATCATAGAAATAATGATAATCGTGCCGTGTGTTACTAATTGTGCTTATGAGTGCCCGGTACTTCACACACATTGATGCTCTCTTCTAATTGTCATGTAATCTTCCTCTACACCACCACCACCCCACCAGCCCAGGGTGGGGAGGGGGGGTGTTACAGGAGAGGATACTGAGGCTCAGAGGAACAGAGCAAAATAAACGAGTGAACAGAAACGAGCGCACTGGCCCATCTAACCACACACCCACGCTTCCCTTCGCACTGTGAGCAGCCACCCAAAGTGAGACTTGCTGCTGCCTCCCCTGTACAGAGGCATGAGCGGAGGCGCGGACCCTCCGCTGACAGCCTACAGTTACGTAACTAGTAAGTGGCATAGCTGGCGCTCAGACTTCACCATCGAGAGCAGAGAGCTATGGAGCTGAAGAGATGCTCCCTTGGCCATGCTATTTGCGCAAGGCCAGGGTCTGATTTGTGCGACAGATTTGCTGCAGGGAAGAAAATCTATTAGAACATTAGAGTCCTCTCAGACTCTAATGTGCACACAGTCACCCAGGCATCTCCTTAACACGAAAATTCTGAATGAGGCGCTTGAACCACTAGTTCATTCCAAGCCCAGCCTCAGCTGAAAAGTTGCCTTCCACCCCAGATACATTGAGTCAGGATCTCTACTTTAATAGGCTCCTCCGGGGGTTCTTGTAGATTCGGCTAAAGGCAGACTCTGATTCTGAAACTATTAACTCTCAGCATGAGGTCAAACTAAAACAACCCCGTTTGAAGCCATATTCTGAACCAGTCCTTCTAGGACGGGGTCTACAATTCTGAATTTCCAATAAGCTCTGAAGTGATACTAGATTGCTGGTCCATGGACCACACATTGAGTATCAAGGTAATGAGAGGCAGGCCAGACCCAGACCATGGGGGACCGAAAAGGGGCCTCAGAGCAAAAGCCCTTTGGAAGAGTCCCCAAAACTTGAGCTTTGAGCCCTGTCTGGGTCATCGCTCCCCTGTGTCTGAAGCCTCTGTGAATGGACGCCCACACCCAGTGGTCCAGAGCCACCTCTCATTCAGAAGAGTGTCTGCCTCTCAGAGCAGATAGGAAACAGCCTTAGTTGGGGTTGGGCCGGCTGGCCGGCAGGCAGGCAGGCAGTTCTGCCTGGGGATTAAATAGTAACCAAAGGCAAGTCAGAAAATTCTTTTACTCAAAAACCAGATTAAAAAATTGTAACAACAAGCCCATTTCTCATGGTCTAAAGCATTAATGTCATTGTCTTTCTAATTCAACACCTGTGGCTTCCATGACATGATCTTTGAAAAAAAAAAAGATCTCTTAAAATGTGACAGTATCTTCAAAACAAAAACAAAACAAAAGAACCTCTTTTTAGATGCTGTGAGAAATGGTTTCAATTAGCCTTTGTTGTGTGTTAAGACCCAGGGTGACACAAATGTTCAAGTGCTAGACTACTAACCAGAAGATTGGCAGTTTGATGCTGCACAGGCACTGCGGTGTCAGTGTGGGAGGAAGGTGTGGTCTCCTTCCCGAAGGTCACACACAGCCGGCAAGCCCCATGGGGCAGGTCTGCTCTTCCTTACCAGAGCTGGCCACGCCTGGGACGGACTCTGCAGCTCTGGCTTTGGTTGGGTTTGTGAGCCTGGAGTCAGGCCTGCCACCACCAGGCAAAACTCCCTGCCCCTTTGTCAGGTCCACTTGGAAGACGCACCCAGTCTGTGGCTAAGGCAACAGACTGGAAATCTTAAGTTCCTTTCATCATTCGGCTGTTTCTCCACCGAATGCCAAACACCCAAATTGATAGAAGCTTTGACTGAACTTGGAGTTGTCTGGGGCCCAAAGGAAGGGGTGCGGGTGGGCGGGGAGGGCTGTTAGTCTATCTCAGAAGGAGTTAGTAAAACAAGGGAGGCTGGATAAGCAGGTCAGCCTGTCCAGAGAGTTAGGGAATGCTGGGTCTGGAGAGACCATCTAGTTCATGCCCTGTAAGATCAACTAAACAGCAGAGGAGTGACTATCTGAATCCAAAATTATCCGCCAAAGAAGGGAAATTGTCGCCTCCC